TGTTTTGTCTTATTATTCCCCATTTATTATATTTTATTATATTAAAAATCATTTTTATATATTATTCACCATTTTATTTTATATTTTTATTATACAGGGTTGGGTTCTCTGGAGACTAATATGTTTTCGTAAGATTTGTGAAACCACAAAATGACATTGAATGTCCACAACAATACAATATGAAGATGTACAAAAACATTGAATTTTTTTTTTTTGAAGTATATAATATTTATATACGGTAAATGCAACAAATAAACTCACGCACCTTCCTCACCTATGGTGAGGTTTGAATCCCTGACTTCCTAAAAGGTCAAGGGCTACGCTACCGCTAAGCCAAATACCCTTTGGTTAAAAAAAAAAACATTGAACCTTCACATCAAAACAATGTGAATATTTATCTTCACAGTGTATTGTTGGGAAATTTTTATGATATTTCATTTATCTTACAAAAACATGTTGATCTTACTTATTTCCAAGTCAATATGTGTGTATGTGTATGTATGGGGCAGAGTGGCGGATGCACATGTATGGGGTTGGGGTCCTGGGCCCCCAACAAAATCAAGTCTAGAAAGCCCAATTTTTTTTATTTTACTTATTGATTTTATGACTATATGATCAGTCCCCGAATAAAATAAACATGAAGGCCCCCACTCCCCAACCCAACTCATAATTTATTTTACCTTCACTTTTATCGCTCAATCATTCCACCATGACCATGACTGTCAAAGGCTCAAGAAAGAACACTGCTGCACGCCTGCACCTTCATTCATCGCGGCGCTTCCTGCTTCCTGCTTTCACCGCTTTCTGATTCACTTCCTGCTTCCAGTTCCTACTGTTTAGGCATCCCTCCCGCGTCTTAGCGTCTGCACTGCGAGTCTGCAACTACTCCAAATTGGGTAAAAACCTAATCATGCCCCCTACAATTTTTTTTTATGCATCCGCCATTGATGAGGCAAATCAAAGAGAAAACCATCTATAATTAGAAACATCAGGAACTAATATGGACCATATATATTTAGCTCTCTTAAATATCTTCTCAACTGTTTCCTAAAAAAATCACTTTTTCCCCATTTGAAATTAATCAATCGACGTAATTTTTTACTGGTGAAACAATATTGTATTCAAACAGACCAACCACATATGTTGTTTCATTAGTGAAACAGCACTATATTATCAAAAATGATCAATAATGATTGACCCATGTATTGTTTCATTGGTGAAACAAAACTACATTAGTGAAGCAGGTCAATACAGATCCACCTATTTATTGTTTCATTGGTGAAACAACACTGTTGTTGCTTCAGAAATTAAATACGTATTATTAGTGTTGGTTCATAAACTTTCTAACTTATGAAGTGTTTATATGATTTTGGACATCGTCTTATTTATAAAATGTCTAATTTATAAGATCCTTAAAATCTAATTCAGATGCAAATATTGGTTAACAAATATAATATAATATATTTTAAAAAACCGTCTCTCCTCTCTCATCTCCCTTTCTCATAACATACATATACATACGATTGAATATGCACATACTGTGAACACTTTCTTAAAAATATTATTACAATTTTAAATACGTTGTGAACAAACTCTAAGAGGTGTTTGGTTCGGGCAAATGAATGAAAATGTGAATAAATTTTCATTATCCTTAGTTTAACCTGGAATGAAAATTTGGGACTTCTGGAAGAATGAATCCATTATATTATATAAAAACAGACAGTTTCTTTTATTTTTATTGTCAATGATTACTGTTTAATATTTCTAACCAAACACCTCCTAAATCTATGATATTTGGTATGGTTTGTGAACACATTATAAACACCAGATAAATCAACTAAACACAAACTTAACACTTGTGAATACCATAATAAAAATATTTCTAAAATTGTTTACATCGTGTTCATCGCAAGTGCAAATTCAATTGTGTATGTGTGCATGTATATTAGAGATGGCCAAAAACCGGTCCCGGGCCGGTCTCAATCGGTCATCATCTTTCTCATAACCGGCCATAACCAGTCCCGGCGTAACCGGTCCCGGTCCCAACCGAAAATGATAGGACCGGTCAAGGTACTTCATAACCGGTTATGTGCCGTCGGTCCCGGTCCCGCGAAACTACAAAAAACCTCAACCGGTCCCAGTTTTCGGTCCCATAACCGGTCCTTACCGGTCCCGGTCCAGGGCCGGTCCTTTGTCGGTCCCGGTCCCGATCCTCCGACGGTCCCAGACCGGACCGGGCCGATTTGGCCATCTCTAATATATATTATAGAGAGAGGAGAGATGAGAGAGAGCGCTAGAGATATTTTTAGAAGTTGACTTTTCTAAAACATGAATTAATATTCATATAATAAATGGCATTACTTTTTTATTTTATTTGTTTAAGATGGATGTTATAAATGTAAAAGTTTTAAAATAATTAATATGTTTATATTTATATTATATTATAAAATATTTGACAACAAATTCTTAAAAACAATCTTTTATACATAAAAGTATTGTTTATTGATACATATTACTTACAATTTAAAATTACAAGTAAATTGTGCATAAGTATAATTTATTAAACCTCATATTTGAATTCGTGTACCTAACTGTAGATAAATATAATAAAATAATAGATAAAATTCTTATTTTAAATATATCTAAAATATAATTAAGATAATTATTGAATTCTAACATAATACTTAGTTATTATTTTTATAAAATATATGTTATTAAATCAAAAACAAATTACTTCGTCATTAAACCTATATTAAATTATAATAAAAATGAGTTAAAGAAATTAAATAAAAAAAATGAGAATTTTTTTTTTCTAATTATTATTGATATCTTCAAATTTATATTAAAAAAACATTATTGTTTGTTCAAAACCACATAAACCATATTATAATATCGACAAAGACAAAAAAAATTTAAAATCGACATATATCTCGTTACATTACATATGAACTCTTCTAATATATATATATATATATATATATATATATATATAACAGAAAAAATATAGGCAGAGAAAGAGCTAAAAAAACCTAAGGTCAAAAGTCAAAGGGAGAATTTAAGAAGGAGAAGAGTGAAAGAAAGCACAAAAAATAATGTGTAGAAAAGAGCATAAATTTAATTTTTTTTTTATTTTAAAATAAAAGAAATGAGGGGGTAACGTGTCAACAGATGATGAGTCCATGTAATGAACCCCGTCCTTTTTGACGAAATTCACGCCTAACTTCTACTTACCACGTGTTTTCTTGCATTCCTCAAATTTTATGTGTTCACATGTTCAATTTTTTATTAACATATAAATTGAAAATTTTAATTTAATAACCAATAAATTTGACTCTTAACATATACCTTTCTTGGTAAAAGGGTCAGATGATTTTGTTCAAATGCAAGAAATGTTCTGAGTTCAATCTCAGATCGTTCGATAGACTTGACCGTTAAGTGAGTCCAAAAATGTCTCTCACAGTGTTGGCTTTTAAAACAAGTCCCGTATATGATTGGTTGGGGTTGATAGTGATCGACTTTTTTGTCGAAATAACAAACGAAGTCTCCTCAAAACTAAAACAAAACGATGACGGGATAATTGTTGGTGATTGTAGTGTTATCGGTTATTCTGATGTAATTGTGATTTATATGAGAGTTAAAAGGTATAATACAAGTTAGGAGGTGTGGGAAACACAATTGTACAAGTTAATTTAACCGAGAGTCACTGAAGATTTCCCTTTTAATGAGGCGTCACCTTTTTTCGAAGTATATAATATTTATATACGGCAAATGCAACAAATAATCTTACACACCTTCCTCACCTATGGTGAGGTTTGGACCCCTGACCACCTAGAAGGCCAAGGGCTATGATACCGCTAGGGCAAAGGCCCTTTGGAAATTAGGCGTCACCTTCTTGAGGTCATCCTGCTGACTGATCAATGAACAAGGTCAATGTACGTCGTCTGGAGACCTAAACGTTATGAAGAAGAGGATCGTTGATGCAGTGTATAGTAACGAAAACGAGGATTAAACTCTATGATTCTACGAATACCCGGGGATAATCTCTAAAGTTTGTTGATTCAACGAATACCCGAACCTTAGACTTCAATTTGAATTCACTGTAAACTCAGAATTCGGGAAGAAAATGAAAGTTTCTGAATTTCAAGTCTAACCATCGAAATGGGAACAAATACGCTTGAAATGGAGTCCCGTAGCAAAAGTTATAACCGTTTAAGCACGAAACCTCTTTTAACCCTATTATGAACCTCCAAAAACAATAAGGTCTGGTCCTACACGCCAAAACCCACATCAAGAACACTAATCGTTGTGATTAGCAAGTGCTTTTCAGTGGCATTGATTATCTTGATAAGTGAGTGTCTTCAATGACACAAATCATCAAATGTTTTCAATGGCAACGATCAATTCATACATCCAATGTTTGACTCTCACTGTCTGATTTCAAAGGCAGTACATTTCGTCTCCACAGTACATCAATTCCAGTGCGTTTCAATTTCTCAGTATATCAACATGTTATTGGTCAATTAGTGATATCAGTGATGGTGGTTCTCATTAACCGTCGGGTTTTACTCTCTCTTTACTCTTGTTTTCTTTAAGATCTTGAAAGAGTCGACTTGTACTTTTGTTTTATTCTCTAGAACCATTTTCTCTCTCTTCACGCGTCCCAATTAAAAAAAATTAAATCAACATTTTGTCGTCTTGTGGTGTCACTTATGGATACTTAGTATTCTAGAACACCCACGTGTACGATCAGGATCTAATATAAAAATGACTCACTGAAACTATTTTGTCGTATATGGATTTCAAAATGGGTTCATGCATTTAGACTCTTTGAAGTTATGGGGCTTTGGATAAGGTCGGCATCTTGATACCTCTAGACACGTGTAAACATATTAACCATCGTCTACCCTACCCTCACCACAGTAAGAAAAGGACTACCGTACTTATCTCTCTGTAAATCCACGCTTATAAATACCCATCCGCTTTCCCATTTCTTGAAAAAAAAAAAGAAATTCAATTAGTCTTCGATTCAATTTCTTCCAATCTCTCGATATCGATCTCTATACAAATCGTGAAAAATGGGTTTGCCGGTGACGGATCCGATGACACAATTGAGTTTACCGCCGGGATTCCGGTTTTACCCGACCGACGAGGAGCTTCTGGTGCAGTATCTTTGCCGGAAAGTCGCCGGACATGATTTCAGTCTTCAGATTATTGCAGATATTAATCTATACAGCTTCGATCCATGGGAGTTGCCAAGTAAGTGGTTTTTAAGTTATTTTTTCTTCATGAATTAACTGGAATCTTTTCTGGGTTTTGATTAATGGGTGTGATTTTTGGTTACAGGTAAGGCGATGTTTGGGGAGAAAGAATGGTACTTTTTTAGTCCAAGAGATCGAAAGTATCCGAATGGGTCTCGACCCAATAGAGTAGCCGGGTCGGGTTATTGGAAAGCCACCGGAACTGATAAGGTGATTACCACCGGAGGTCGAAGGGTTGGGATCAAGAAAGCTTTGGTGTTCTATGTGGGTAAAGCTCCGAAAGGAAACAAAACCAATTGGATCATGCATGAATATCGGTTGTCGGAGCCGCCACGAAAAACCGGTAGCTCAAGGGTGAGTCGCCGGCGATTATTTTAACTTTCGATTTTTATTAATTTCCCCTGTTTTTTCTTTCTGTGAATCTTGTTTTTTACTGAAATTTCAATCTGGGTTTTGATTTCCAGTTGGATGATTGGGTTCTTTGCCGGATTTACAAGAAGAATTCTAGTGCACAGAAACAGATTTCTGGTGCACCGAGCACCGAACAGAGCCACGGTTCATCTTCATCGTCTTCATCTCAGTTCGACGACGTTCTCGAATCGCTGCCGGAGATTCAAGACAAATTCTTCAATTTACCAAGAGTTAATTCCATCAAGACTTTCCAACAAGAAGACCAAAAGCTGAACCTTCAAAAATACGATTCCGGTAACTACGATTGGGCCAGCATCGCTGCATTTGGGTTGCCGGAAACTCAAGCTCCACCACAACTGAACACCACCACCGCCACCGCCACCGCCACCGCCACCGCCACCGCCATGAATAATGTTTTCCCTTCAATGTCACCCACATACACCACGGATATAAAGTTTGGAAGATCATTAGAAGACGAAGTTGAAAGTGGGATCCGAAGCCAACGGGTCGAGAATCCGGGTTACTTTCAATCGAACTTAAACCCGTTTGCACACAGCCAAAGCCAGAGTTTCTCGAAGACGATGGATCCGTATGGGATCCGGTACCCGACCCAACAAGCAAGCCTGGGTTTCAGGCAGTGAAATGAAATTCAAGGGGGCGCTGTGTAAATAGATGATTCTATAGGGAGCTTTGGGTATAGATTGCAGGAGTTGGGGGGGTTAAATGGAACCCAATTTTGATGCCATTTAAATTAAAAAATTAAATTAAAAAAAAAGTTGGGGAAATTAAGGAATGGCATATTCAACGTAGGTAGATACTCTCTTGTTCGATGTAATTTCATTACGAGAATTGAATAGTTGTCAATTTGTGTTGGATCTTTGACCATTTTTGTTAAATTTTGTCCTGATTATTATAATTAAAATATAAAATAATATGATTATACAGATGTTTTTATACAAAGTTTGTTATTATAATATATACTGATACAATTTACTTGTACTATAAGTGCATACGCGTATCACATAACATGGGTTTGACGTATCTTATGAAAATGTTTTTGTTTGTATGTCGAAGTGAAAACAACAAAAATTAGAGTGGTTGGATTTTGTTACGAGTAAAATTTACGGAGGTTTTCGACTTTGAACATGTAGATTGGTATATTTGAGACGTGATGTTGCGAATAAAAAAAATGGAAAAACACACGTAAATGAAAGTAGAAAAGTAAGAATCTTTGACGAATATAAATGGTATAAAAAGAAATATATAAATATAAAAATGGAACAAGGTTTAGAAAAAGTAAAAAAAAATACTAAAATTTCAACTTTGAATATATTTTTATTAATTTTTAATATATTTATAAATTTTTTTATTATAAATAAATAATAAAGATTTTTCCGAACCCAGTTATTAGTAAACCAAAAATCAATTAGTATATTAGAATATTTAAAAAAATGATAAAAATTTCTTTATTATGATCTGAATATTCATGAAAATTTATTATAGTTTATTTGTTAGGATAATGTTTTATATCTAGAAATAATCGAGAAATTCTTGGATTGGATAACTGTTTGGTAGTGACTTAATGATATAATAATGACTTATTCAGTAAGCTTCTAAGGACAGTTTTATGTAAAACATCAAGTCTTTTTTTCTAACCTGTCCTACTGATTCTAAAACAAACTCTTTATGTCTATGAAAATACTCTCAAACAAAAATCTTTTTAATCCATACAGAAAAATTAATATACAGATACAACTTTATCCATATGAGACTGAATTGAAAACCAATTAAATAGCACCTATCTTTAAATAAATATAAATATGTATTTTTCTTAATAATAAAATAAAAAGAAATTATAGTTTTAGTTATTATATTAATAAAATAAAATAATATAATATATTCTGTGGGTTAAAGAAATGAAAATAATTGGCGGGTTTGGTTTGGGGATTTGCATTGACCAGTCTTACGATAAGAATGTTAAAACCACACGTGATGTATCAGATAGACGTTACATAAGACAGCCGTCATTTCCCTATTCCCCACGTTTGCTTGCTCTTTTGCGGCGCCACCTACTAGAATTATACTTTGACAATTTAAGCCCTTATATTTCCACAAATAATCCAAACCTCACAATTTGGGAAAACTTACCATCGACCCCCTTCCTTTTTCTTTTTCTAATTTTTTTTAACATATTCTTAGGAATGTTTGGATCCCATAGGGAATTTGATTGAATTATAATACACTAAAGTAGGGGTATGCAAAAAAATTAACTGATCTAATTAGAACTGATCGATTTGAAAAGAATCGACCGTCCATAATTGGATATCCAGTTTGGATTGGTCGGTTCTTGGATGGTAGTCAAGAACTGATCAAATCTGACTGAACAAAACCGAGTAACATCCAATTAACCATCCGACTACCATCCAATTATCCAACCCATTAACCATCCAGTTATCTATCCGATTACCATTTAGTTATCTATCAAATTAACCATCCGATTACCATCCAGTTATCCATCCAACTATCATTCAATTTGCTTAGATCATACTTTGTTTTGTGTTGGTTTTTGAACTTCTAGCATCACTTGTTTTGGTGGTTCTAACACATATTAAAAGTGTTAATCAATTTGTGTCATTGATGGGAAATTGGACTGAATTAACATATTGGCTGAATCTGATCCAAACATCCATTGAATATCGAATGGATCCAATCTGATCCAATGAATATCCAATAAAAATATCCAAATAATGGAACTGAAGAGATCCAATCATCCATCGGATTGGATCGATTATCCAATGTTAATTGGATCATATCGATTAGCAAAATCCAACATCCAATAGATGATTAGATCAGTTCAGTTCCCTCACATCCAATGAATGTCAACCGATGAACAAACCTATATCAAAGAATTGGAATCAGGTAGAATTTGAACATAGTTAAACTGTGTGTTGGAATTTGATTGATAAGAATTTGAATGAAATCACTCAATCGAATAGAAATCTACTTCTTTGGTTGGAAAATACAGTATCAGAATTGGGATGGAATAATAATAAAAGACCAAAATACCCATTTATGATATTCTCATACTTTCTTATTTAAATTATAAATACTATATAATAATTATAATATTTATTGGTGGCGACGGGGATTGGTGGTGGTGGTGTTGATCATATACGACAACGTCTTGGTAATTTTGTCTTATGGGAGAAATTGGGAGGATTTGATTTGAATTCCATCACATATCTGATGGAATGATTAGGTAGAATTTACGTAATTCAATTCCATTCCAGGTATAAACCACACAACTTAACTGATTGACCATCCCAAATATTCAGATCTCATAGGTCCTACGATCCAAAAGCATTTAGGGGTAGTTTGGTTCGTGGAATGAAATTTAAAGGAATTGGAGTTTTCATCAAAACAATTTGACTTCAAAAGAATTGGAATGAAATATGATGGAATTTGACCAAGCTTTGTTGGCTTAATTGGAATCCTTGTATTTGACTGACGAAATTAGCTTTATTATTGAAATGAAATAATTGTAAATCACCAAAATACATTTTTATTAATTTTAAAATTATATAAATAAAATTTATGAAATAAATACGATAAATAACAACCAAACAAATAGAGCTACAATTATGGATGCCGGCAAAGGATCATGCGAGAAGGAAAGTTATGGTGAGAAGCGTAAAAAGATATTTGAACCCTTGATAACTTTTAATCTTATATTCATTTATGAATTGTGCTCTAGAAGGGAATTGATTTGGTGCATCTTGGTGTACCTCATCAGTGTTAACATTCAATTAAGATTGATCCAAGAGTTGATATCTCTTCTTACGCTTCTCACTATAACTTTCTTTCTCACATGAAGTATTCACAATTTATCCAAAATCCATGAACAGAACACCACCTTAAAATTTTTACATTCATCATAAATAAATAAAATATGGTCATTGACAAATGATTGTGTGAAAAACGTAAGAAGAGATTTGGACCTTTGATCACTTTTAGACTCATCTTCATTTCTTGAATTGTGTTTATCACGAGAATTGGTTCAGTGCATCTTGGTGCATCGCATTAGTGTTAATCTTCAATTATGATTAACCTAAGGATGTAAATATTTTCCAACCCTTCTCACTAGAACCTAACCCTAATGTCATGTTTTCTCTACAGGCAAAAAGAACCCAACAAAAGAACCTGTCTTCCCCCCCCCCCCCCCACACAAAAAAGAAAACCCGTGGGAATTGAAGTTGAAAATATCTAAAAACAATTACACTCAACTCTAAGGTGGTGTTATCAAAGGGTTTTTGGCCTAGCGGTATGTGAGTTTTTACCCTCTTAGCTAGGAGGTCAAAGGTTCAAATCTCACCAAACGTGAGGAGGGTGTGTGAGTTTATTTATTCTATTTGTCGTATATAAATATTATATACTTCAAAAAAAAACTCTAAGGTGGCGTTTGGTTCGCATAATGTTTTTTGTTAGAATGAAATATGTTAAAGGATTTTAATTTTGAAGGAATTGGAATAAAATGTTGTCAGGTTTGACCACATGTTTGGTTGACAAACATTGGAATGAAATCTGTTAAGGAATTGGAATCTGTGTGTTTGGTTCATAAAATGTAGCTTTAGATTTGGAATAAAATATTGATAAATGACCAAAATGTCCTTTTTTTTTTAAAACTAAAATTACTTTAATAAAATAATTATTTAATATGTGAAACAATAACCCAAATATAATCATAAGCCAAACAACGTTACTAAATCGACGATGGTTCAGATCGGTGGTAATCCACAGTTGTTCAGATGGTGGTGGTCCGCAGTGATTCAGATCGATGGTGGTGGCTGTGATGTTCAAAGCGGTGTCCGATGGTGATTCCAATCGATGGTAGTTGTCGATGGTTGGCAGTGATATAGATCGATGGTGGTCCATTGTGATTCAGGTGACGATGGTCAGATGTGGTTCAAAGCGGCGATGGATCATATCGGTGATGGTTAATGGTGGTTTAGATTGACGACGCTTCAAATCGGTAGTAGTTGGCAGTGATTCAGATCGATGGTAGTCCGTGGTGGTTCAGATGGCGATGGTCGACAATGGTTTAGATTGATGGTGGTCTATGGTGGTTCACATGGCGATTATCGGCGGTGGTTCACATGGCGATTATCGGTGAATCAGATCAGTGGTGGTTCAGATCGGTGGTAGTCGACGGTGGTAGTCGGCGATGGTTCAGATCGATGGTGGTCGACGGTGGTTCAGATCGGTGGTAGTCGGCGTTGGTTGACGGTGGTTCAGGTAGGTGGTAGTCAGTTGTGGTGGTTCAGATTGGTGGTGGTGGTCCATGGTGGTTTAAATGGCGGTGGTTCAGATTGATGGTGAATCAAATCAGTGGTGGTCAACGGTGGTAGTCGATGGTGGTGGTCAACGATGGTTCAGATCGGTGGTAGTCAGTGGTAGTGGTGGTCTGCGATGGTTCAGATCGATGGTAGTCAGTTGGTGGTTCAGATCGATGGTAGTCGACGGTGGTCCAGATCAATAGTGGTCGCGAGGTGGTCGACGATGGTTATATTGAGTTTTATGAGATTAGAGTATATTAAGTTAAGAACATTATTTGGTATAATGAAGATAGAGACTTCATTACATCAAAATACCATATAGTTGCAAAGAAATGTTAAGTTCCTTTATTTGTGAAATTTGTAGGATTTTGAAGATTTCTTTTGTAAAAAAGAATGAACCAAACGAGGGTTCGGTCAATGGAATTCAACATTACAATTCCATCATATTCCTCCAGAATCTACGAACCAAACGCCACCTAATAGATTCTCTATTTCGGAATGTCTTTTTTTTCCTACACATTTTATAAACCTTTATTTCGATCATGGATCGGTTCATACTTTATATAATAAAAATTATAATATAAAAATTAACAAAAAGTTATTTTATTTACTTTATAGTTAATATAATTCAAAATAAATGAAAAAAATACATGTGAATAAAAAAAATGAAACAAGTAGAGATTTTGTACAGACACAATCCAACTATTTAAAAAGTCAAATTTATTCCATAAAAGAAGTCAACAATAAAGTTCAAATATGAAATTTTATAAATTCAAAACGCAAATCCGAAAAAAGTACCTAAAAATGTTAATTATAAAAACCGTATGAATCTCAAAATCAACAAAAATAGAAAAGGTTATAAAGGCTATCATTGCTTTTGTGAGGATAAACAACCAAACCAAAATAGGGTATGGGGAAGATGAGAATTCAGATGTATGCAGATGTGACGACTACAATGTTGATGCATTTATAGGAGTAGTTACGGTTCTCTAAGTTTAAAAGAAACGATTTCTGCCAAAATCATGACTAGAAAATTGAATTCCTTGACAGATTTGGGTCGAAATATAACTCAAGGAAAACAAGCTCTTACTCGATCTCAGTTTTTAGCCAGCCAAGCTAAATAATATCTGTTTCTCTCCATTCACGAAATCCTCTAATAGCGCAAATACAGAAATCACTCATCAGATATAAGGACGGATAAACCTCATTTGTGTTGACAATGGCACCTCCATCACTGCTATCAGTACTTGTGACGATGTTCAAATTTCTATTGAACCGATATATTACTTTCCAACTGGCCAAGAAAGCAAGTGTGCAATGGTCCACATAAGTTGACACAATATTTAGTAAGCGACTTGCAAGTGAACAAGCGGTCAAAAAACCAAACCAAACCAAAATGACGTGTAATTCCACCTCCACCTCAAAGGGTAGAGCGGTTGTTTCTATACAGAACCCAACTTAAGCACTAGTGTGAACAAACAGGTATAATAAAGACTTATCATTTAGTAAACGAAGCATAGGAAAAAAGTACGTAGGAAAATCATTAAAAACGTATGACTCACAAAGCTTCAAAATCAAACAAGTAGAGAAGTAAATAACAAGAACGAAACAAATTAGACGCATAGAAAAGGTTACGAATGACTCTTAAGAACCTCAAAATCAAACTAGTAGGGTAAAGAACAAGAGTGGAAAAGACTATGCATAGACCCACTCTTAAGAACCTCAAAAATCAAACAAGCACGAAAGGTCGAAAATATTCGATGAAAAAGTCAATAATGTTGAGAATCCAAGAATAACAAGTACAAGGAATAAAGACCCTCTATAACGATAGTCGATGCTTTTGATGCCAAACACTTCCTGAGAAATCCCATGTGATCTAACATGAAATTAAGGGTCTGTTTGTTAGCAGTTTAATGGAACTCACAACTTATTCGGTCAGCTATGGTGCTATACGTGACTGTTTGGAAGTGGCTTAATGATATAGAAAGTGGGTTATTCTGTAAGCTTCTAGAGGGAGCTATATGCAGAAAACCAAGTTTTTTCCAAACCTGCCCCTTCGATTAAAATCAGGCTCCTTTCATCTATGAAAAAACTCTCCCAAACAAAAACCTTCCCAATCTATACAAACTATTTAATCCACACAAACAGCTTTATTCATACATAACTTAAAAAAACAACCACCAAACAGCCCCTAATTAGCAAGTGACTTGCAGAATGTTGAATTAATTAGGTGTAATAAAAAACTAGAATCATACCCTTTGGTCAAGAGAAGTTGCAATAGCAGAAGCCACCAACACGAGTGCCAATACTAGAAAGACATCGTACTTCCTTATCAGTCCTGCAGAATTAGCTCAAACAACAAAGAAAAAAGATTTAAATGAAAGATATAACAAAATGCAGTCCCATTGCAGGATAATACACAAAAACATGAAGATAATCAAGTAGAAGAAAAAGAAGAGGTCAAAGTCCAGAAAAAAGCTACTATGCATATTTGCAATTAGTTAGGAGCAGATGGTCCATCATCAAGAATGATCCGAGCAGTAAAGACCCTGGGAACCAACCATTCATCAGGACCGTATGCACATGCACATACAGGTAATTGAAGTTGTTTCTTGGTTTTCTTTTTTGCGGTTTTCCCCTAAACCTGACCCCAAACCAAGGATCTTAAGTTGGTGATCTGTAGCTACCATTTTCCCATGATAGGACCATCTGATTCAGGTTAAAAGCACAATTGTATAACTTCCTGCAAGTAATTTTCACTAAATAACATATGCAAATGAGGATAAAAAGAAAACAAATTGCAACACAAATTAATTGGTACTTATGACAAATACTCAGAAAAGGATATATTGGCATAAAGCACCTTCCTGTTAATAAGTTCCATTAAATGTCATATGCAGATTAGGATGAAAAGAAAATATTGCATCACACATTAAAAGGGTATATAAGACAAATTCTCAAAAAAGAATGCATGGGCAATGGGCCTTGACAGGACTGGTTTTCAGGCTTTATACAGGCTCTATGCTGTTATATCGGTCAGAATACGAAATATCGGTCAGGACCGATATTCGATATATCGGTTATATCGGTGATATATCGGAAATATCGGTTAACATAATATTTCTTAGAATTATATATATATAATATAATTCTATATATTATATATATATAGAATTAAGTTTAGACCTAATTTACTAAGTTTAGAGAGACTGAGAGAAGAAGTCTGAACTAAGTTTAGATTTAGATTTAGACCTAATTTACTAAGCAGCCCAAAAAATAAGGCCCATGGAATAAAAAAAAGCCCAAATTTTAACCCTTGTAAAAATCGGAATATCGGACCGATTTTTCACTAAAATATCGCTCAAAATATCGCCAAATATCGCCGATAATATCGTTGGCGATATTTTGGCCGATTTTTCATGACCGATTTTTTTTTTTCGAGCGATATCCGATATATCGGCGATATATCGCGATTTTGACAGCATAGTACAGGCTTATTTTAACTGGTTAAGGACCGGTCCGAGGTTCAAAATTTAGGATCAAAACAGACTTTTGCCTATAAATGGTCCTTGGGCCAGGCTGTTTTTAACCGATCCAGCGTCCTTACTGTCAAAAATCAGTTAACTGGTCCTTTGTGCATCTCTAATCGGCATCAATTAGCATGACATACTATTGGAGAGGAAATGTATATCCAACCCACTTTTGGAGGATTGTATCAATAAACATTTTTACGAATAAGGCAGAGCGGGAATGACAATATTACTTAAAAGTTCAAACATAAAATATCAAGTTTGATACCCGTACACAGAAGATAAACTCAAATTGAATATATTGTCAAAACAAATCCATTTAACCAAAAATATCAAAATCAAAATCTAAAAAAATGATAATGTTGGTGCATTGACACAACTCAGTCAATTCAAAAGTTAATTACAAAAACCAAATTCAAACATGAAGAGAATGGACCCAAATAGGATAAAGTTTAAAACGAATCCATTAAACTGTTGATGTTAATACCAAAATAGTATAAAAGTCAAAATCTCGAAAAATCAGAAGTTGTTTATAAAACCACCTGAAGGTCAATTAAAAAAATAGAAAATGTTACGGATGACTCTAGAACCTCAAAATCATACAAGTAGAGTAAGAACAAGAAGCAGGGTGAAAAAGATTATGCATAGGCACAATCCAATTACTTGAAAAGTCAACTTTTTTTGATAAAAACTGACAATAATGAAGTTCAAATATAAAACACTAAATCCGATTCCATACATGGACAAGAAACCCAAATGGAATGAAGTCAAAACCAATCCATTTAACTATATATGTCAAAACCAAAATAGTATAAAATTTCGAAATGTAGCTCAGTTGGCAAAGACGTTAGGCACTTTGCCCCTAACGTAAGTTCAACACAACAATGAAGCCAAATTGAAGTTTAAAACCAACCCATTTTAATAAAAAAAATGTGAAATTCAAAATAGTACAAAAACCATATCAAAGTCAAAATCAACAAAAAGCAGAAAAAAGTTACGGATGACCCTTAGAACCTAAAAATCAAACACATAGAGAACTGGACGCCAACAAGAGTGGAAAAGATTATACATAGGCACAATCCAATTACTTAAAAGTCAAAAATTAATCGATAAAAAATGACAACAATGAAGTTCGAATATATACAAAGTCAGATCTCGTACATGGACAATAAACCCAAATGGAACAGAAGTTGCCAAAGCCAATCCATTTAACTAAAGGGCTGGGTTCCACTGTGAATAAGAGTTATAGTGAGAAGGTAAGAACAAAACATTCATAGACTTGATCCACATTCAACTACTTCTAGTTACCTTTTTGTATCATCATGACCAAAGGCTCAAAAGTGTTCTCACCGTTCTCAACATAACTCTTATTCTCACACGATCCCTCATCTCTAACTAAATATGTCAAAACCAAAATAGTATAAAAGTGAAAATCTACAAAAATGAAAAGATTAGTGCATGGACATAACCCCATTACTTGAAAAGTT